TAGGTAGGTAGGTAGGTAGGTAGATAAGTAGGTAGGTAGGTAGGTAGATAGGTAGGTAGATAGGTAGATAGGTAAGTAGGTAGATAGGTAGATAAGTAGGTAGGTAGGCAGGTAGGTAGGTAGGTAGGCAGGTAGGTAGGTAGGAAGGTAGGTAGGTAAGTAGGTAGATAGGTAGGTAGGTAGATAGGTAGGTAGGTAGGTAGATAGGTAGGCAGGTAGGTAGGTAGCCAGGTAGGTAGGTAGATAGGCAGGTAGGTAGGTAACTAGATAGGTAAGTAGGTAGGCAGGTAGGCAGGTTGATAGGTAGGTAGGGAGACAGGTAAGTAGGTAGGTAGGTAGGTAAGTAGGTAGGTAGGTAGATAGGCAGGTAGGTAGGTAGGCAGGTAGGTAGGTAGGTAGGTAGGTAGGTAGGTAGATAGGCAGGTATGTAGGTAGGTAGCCAGGTAGGTAGGTAGATAGATAGTTAAGTAGATAGGCAGGTAGGTAGGTAGGCAGGTAGGTAGGTAGGTAGGTAGGTAGGTAAGTAGGCAGGTAGGTAGGTAGATAGATAGGTAGGTAGGTAGATAGGCAGGTATGTAGGTAGGTAGATAGATAGTTAAGTAGGTAGGCAGGTAGGTAGGTAGGTAGGCAGGCAGGTAGGTAGGTAGATAGGTAAGTAGGTAGAGAGGTAGGTAGGTAGGTAGCCATTGCTGGGAAAGCTCTTGGATCCCCCTCCTGCCCTCTCCCACCCACCATGTGTCCCCAGGGAGTCCCTGCCCCAGCTCACTTCCTCCTTGACTGCCCACCCCCCACCTGTGACCCATCTGCCACACGGGAGCCAGGTGATCTTCCAAACACAGCTTCCCTCCCCATTGGCTGAGGTGCTGGGCCACCGGGAGGGCCCAGGCCACCTCTGCAGGGCCACCCAGCCGTCTCGCCCCTCGCAGCTCTGAAGGTTTACCTCAGCGTCAGAACCCCCACAGGTTGCCTGGGGCTCCTGGGGACTGCCTCAGAACCCAGCGTTCCCTTTGCCTGATCTTCCCTCCCTCCCTTTCGATGTCATTGAACCGGGAAACTCCAAACTCCCCACAGTGCTCTAGCAGACTGGGTCGAGATGGCCCCCGCCTGCCCCACCGCTCTCCAGATGTCCAGACTCTGCACACAGCCTCCTCAGTTGTTCCAGCCACTGAGCCCCAGGGCCTTTGCTTATGCTGTGTGTGCCTCCTACTCCACAGCTGGTTTCTTCTCACACTCCAGGACCTGGCACAGGACGTGCTGCCTCCCTGAGCAAGAGTCCCCACTCCTCTCTGTGTCATGGGCCACTGTGTCCTAGTCTTTTTCTTCACAGAGCTCATGGATTATAATGACACATGCATTTCAGTTGGTAGCTGCCCTCCATCCAGGACAGGGACAGTCCAGAGTGACCCCAGGTCTTCCAGAAGGGGTACAGGTGTCTTCGGCTATCCCAGTAGCCCTGTGCCCAGAGTCTCACAGCCCCTGGAAGCATCCTGTCCTGGGGACCAGTGTGGCCAATGCTCAAGTTAGGTGCTGGCCGTCCCAAGGCAACCCATTCCCCCTCCACGAGGAGCACCGTAAAGGCAGCCAACGTGTCTCCGCCTCGTTCTTTGCTGCACACGCCCCCAGGCATCAAGGCTGCTGAACAATAACGCAGGGGCACTGTCCGCCAAGTCCCACAGGAGGGCGCAGGACGGGAAGACACAGGGGCATCTCCACGCCCAGGGTGCCCACGGGCAGCCAGACAGTGCAGCGTGGGCCCTGCCCGTGTTTATTGGACTCTCCCAGCAACTTTCAAAAGTAGGCAGGACTGGAACATTCCTAAGACCGCCAAGTCCCCCACTGTCCCCGGAGGTCTTGAGTGGGGCTGGTCCCTCTCCCGTACCCACTCAGCACAGCACTCACTCCGCCCTGAAGAGCTCTGTTTAATCTTCTCTGCACCAAACCACGGGCCCATATAAGGCCTGCCAAGGGCGGTCTTTCCAAACCCAGCTGGGCCCAGTGGTCTTCCTGGAAAGAAGGATCAGTGTGGCGTGCGGCCTGCTCCGAGCTCCCAGGGCCTCGCACAGGGCCTCTGCGTGTTTATACTGCACTCGCTGTCCTTGCACACGTCCTTCTCAGCCTTCCCACTCCGATCCATCTCTCAAAACCCAGCTCAAACGTCCCCCCTCCATGCAGTCTCCCCAGACTCTGCATATTAGGACTCTCATGAGAAATAGATGACAGAGAGAGATTCATTATGAGGAATCAGCTCGTGTGATTATGAAGGCTAAGAAATCCTCTGAGGTGCTGTCCGCAGGCTGGAGGCGATGCATATCCCAGTCCAAGGGCAAAGACATGTTTGCTGGCATAAGACAAACTGTTGATGCTTTTACCTATAAATGCCTGGGGTCATGAATTCATTCAGCAAGTATTTATTGAGCAACTACTGTGTATCAGCCCTGAGAGAGGAAATGGGATTTTGAGGTCCACAGAGATAAGTTCTTCGCCCTGTGGAGCTCGACTGTTGGCCAGGAAGACAGGAAGTGCA